GGGGTGGGTAGGGAGGCTTATTTGCCCCAGCAGGAAAAGTTCAGTAATTAGGGCATATGTCTAGGATGTACGTTGGAGAAGGTCCTGATCTGTCTTAGGCGGGATGTGAACCTCTGTCTCCCTGAATGCAAGCAAAGGCTCCCAGCATTCAGCAATAACTGTTTGCAATGGGAGGGTCTCTCTGCTTTTAATCAGAAATTCCATGCATGACCTGGTAAAGCTGCTCTCTAGGAACTGCAGTGTGTGTTCCTATGAAGAGACTTCCATTCTGAGAAATCAAGACTACTATTTTTTTTTTTTCCCCCCCGATGAAAACATTCTCTGGTTAGCAAGTTCCCTACTGTCTTCATACAACAATCTCTTAAAATGCAGTTCTTCTGTGAACAGATGTCTCCAGAAGGCCTGTGAGATTTTAGGTCAAGACAGATGTCTCATGAGATTTCAAGACACCAGAAATCTTGCCAGGGCAGATTCCAGAATTTAGGAACAGCCCTTGCAGTTCTGCTCTTTCTTGAAGATCCCTTTGAGTTGAATCAGATGCTGCTCTTACTCCAAAGTATACATATCAGTCTGCTGTAATTTTGCCATTCGTTATTTCTACTACTTGTGTTTCAAAAGAAGTGTAAAGTGTTTCAAATACCATCAAAATACCATCAGATCCATGAAAAGTATTTTGTAAATTTTTACTTACACCATATTCAGTTACTTTTAAAATGCAGAATTATTGTTTGAGATATGCAAATAACTTAACTTTCCATTTGCTTTGTCTACATAAAAGGTGTAATTTATTAGTCATCTCTTACCTGCTTCAGCATATTGTAAATTGGTAGGAAAACAAAAATAAATAACACTATACTCAAGCGTATTGCTGAGAGTGGAGTTACGCTCATTTTCTGTCATACAGTGGTACTCTTAGGATCATAGGATAGCTCAGCTTGGAACGGACCTCGGGAAGTCTCTAGTCCAGCTTCTTGCTCAAAGCAGGGTCAGCTACAAAGTTAGACCAGATTGCTCAGCTCTTCAGTGATTTGAGTCTAGCAGTAACTTTGTCTTATTTCAGGATCTAAACTTGCCCCATGATTAATGACCTCCATCCTCCTTCTGATGAAAGGTTTTCCCACTGGTTCCAGTGGAATCTTTAGCACTGTGGTTGTAGCGGTCTGCGTAAACCTGTGATTTTGAAGTGCAGCCTTGTGGGGACTACTTGTGGGGATTAGAGTCTTCCTATACGGCCATTACATGATCATGCAGTCCTCAGAAAAATACATTATTGATGGTTGTTTTGGTCAAAAGCTGCTGTTTCCTGTGGATACACCTGCCACCACAGCAGGGTCTGTTTGAGAACCCTGGTCTGGACTGAAACGTGCATTTGCTTCCAAGGAAAGAACGTTTTGCTGCTGCTCCACTATGTGAATATGGCATTTGTTCAGAGCTGATTTTCCTTCTCTGGGGGCTACCTGCACATTCACTTTCTCACCTTCATCTTTTCTCCCTAAACTTTTTTTTTTTTATCCATACTATTATTGCCAACATGTTTATGTTAGTCTGGATATTTTTTTGTAACACCTTAAACCAGTTTAGATGAATCCTGTAAGACTTCCTATTGATTTCACTGCATATGTAGTCAGGATCTTATTGACTCCTCTTTGTTGACTTTCCACTCTTCCCGATCACATAAACTAACGACTAGGCCTCAACTTAACTTTGAATTCATTTCTTAGTCCCTGATGAGTTCTTTTGTATTGAGACAAATCAGTACACCTCTAGTACAACTTCTAGTTAAACTGGTGACATCTTAAACTCCAAAGTCTTTCTTTATCAGTCTTTCTTCTACCTCCATGTCAGTCTGTCTTCATGTCTGCAGTATCTCCATTTGCTAAAATCTTCCTCATATTGTTCTGGACAAAAGCAACTAATTTATGGTGGGTTTTGAGTCTTAGTTCTCTTGTCTCTGAGCATACATAGAATAACCTTTCCTACTTTCACTCACACAGGGAGAAGTCCTACTTTGTAATCATGTAGTTGGACAGGTTCATTGAGCCATACCCCAGACTGAAGTTCGAAGCTCAGGGTTTTCATAACTTTCTGTGGAATTAAATGAAGTTCATAAATTAGTTTTTCTCTGCTGTCTTTCTCCTCTTCAGCTATTGTCTTTGCCCTTATAATGCAGTCTTGGCATACTGTTCAGAAAAGTCTTTTTGTAATTTGTTCCAGCTCTTTTAATTTCTTTGAATATTTGTTTTCAAAAATTTCTTCTTGACAACTGTGTTTTCTCCTTTATCTCTTTCTGAGCCTTCTTTTTTTTTTCACCCTTGTCTGTGTTTTGTAATTGGATAGCAAAGTTTCGTAAATCCTTGGTGTATAGTCTCAATTAAAGGTGTTCTACCAAGTGGGAAGGTTAATTGAGCCTCTTTTTCAGACAAAAGAATCGCAGTTATCATAGAGTCATCAATACTTAGAATCGTAGTTTTGGGCTGAGTTTGCAGAGGAATGTGATGGGAAGATCTATATTTTCTTTCGTCCCTGCCTCAGCTTTCCTGTTTTTCTGACAGTCTGTTTACTGCTTGCCTGTCTTTTGACACATGGTCCAGCCCTCCATGTGGTAAGTTACTAGCCATGAACCTTATAAACACCACTGAAAGAACAACCATTTAATTAACCATGACCAACAGTAACCATCAGTATTTAAATGATATCAGACTTCTAACAGCAAGGGCTGGTCTAAATTGAATCAGATCTAGTTTGCTCTTTTAAAATAACTTTTATGGTTATTTTTGCATGCCTGGGCGTAGTTGTGACCTTAAAGTATTGCTCTTTCTCTCCCTGCTTGAACTTCATGATTTTCGCTCATAAGGCATCAAAGAACCCCATTCTTCTAGTAGTGTTCTGTCCTTCTTGACATGATTTTCTTGCTATTAGCATCTCCTAGCAGACTGTAGGCAATTGAGTTGGTTGCTCTGATGTTGCTTCTGAGGCACAGGCAGATGGATTAATCCGGACTGTTGGTCAGTAGTTTGTGATGTATGCTGCTTGGTTAGTGTACAGCACCAAAATACAATTTGAAGAAATCAAGTATGGCTTTTTCCATGAAAAGCTGAATGTAGCTTATACCACTTATATTCATTAGCTAGTTTTCAGGTTTGTTCTCAGATACGTTTCAGGTATATTTAATTTCAAATTTGTAAAACTGAAGATATAGCATTTGGGTTTTGTTGAAATCTTACGATTTGTGTGTATTTGGAGGATGCACATGCTATGTTTTCAGTCAAATAGTTATTTGAAAAGTGAACCTTGAAGGGTTAATTTTGTATTAGTTTTAAAATTACTGCATTATTTATTGTAATTTTGTAAGGTAATATTTATACTTTCTTTAAAATATTGTATCATAAAATAACATACAGTGTAAATATTTGACTTATCACATGTATTGGAGTGTGTGGCTATAACTCACTAATTGAAAACAAATCTGGCCAGGAACGTTATTTGGATATTAACAACGTAATGATGACATGACTTACATATTTCATGAAAAACTATATTAGTTTATGTATATTTAATGAAGTATGCTATATTTTTCTTAGTATTAAAATCTCTTTATGGATGGACTATAAATCAAAAGCTAAGTTAGAGTCTTGAAATACAACAGCCATATGTTGCCATGGTACTGTAAGTCAAGATAAATGTTAAAGATAATAATGGATATGCATAATAAGGTGTAGCAAAACTGTACTAAGAACCTAATAGATTATTGAATCCCCCATGATTTTTACCACTTTTTCAACACTATTTTAAAATAGCACAGCTTGGTTACAGTATAAATTTTGCTTCTGATATCCAGTAATTCTTATTTTAGGACTATGATTAATGCTGCATACATGGAGAGAGCTAATGAATTTCTGATAATGTAATTTTTGTCCATGTCACCTAATCATATGCTCAGATTTTTTTTTTTCTTTTTTTAGTTAAGGTGCAGTTAGTTAAGGATATTGTACTAATCTCAGATGCAAAATATCCCACTGATGATATTTCTCATTTGTGTAATTGCGTATGATAACATTTTCATGTCATTAAAGTATAAATTCTGTCTTGTCCCATGTATGGTAGCAAAACCTAGTTTTGATCAGCAAGTTCCATTTTTCCAATCTTTTATGCAAGATAAATCTTTTATGTATGTTTTTTGTATTTTTGGTTTTGGCATTTGATCTATGCTAATATCTGCTTATCATTTAAAGAGGGTAAAATGCTCTCTAATTAGGTGGTTGGTAAAATTTTGGTACTTTGGCTTTCTGTGTTGTTGTTAGCCATGCATAAAATGCTTTCCTATTGATCAGTGTAGAATAGCCAGGGTTTAAACAGCTGACATCTGCTTACTTTAAAAAAAGAAAAAGAAAACAGAATAACAAACCATTTCAGCCTAATCTACCTCAAATGTGTGCATGTAAATGGGGGTCCATCTATTGACCTGCATTCTTTTCAGTTGTGGATTGGTCCACACGGTTTATGAAACCAGGAGGGCTGATTTGAAATGCAGATGTCGAGACAGTGAACTACACCCTCCCCTTTTTCCTTTGCTGTATCTGTCAGGGTGAAAAATGGCTTGCACAAGGGTCAGTCACCCATACTCACTTAATTACTTTCCTTGGACCTACAGAACTGTCACAAGCTGTGGTGGATGCAGGAGCTGTTCCTCTTTTAGTGCTCTGTATCCAGGAGCCAGAAATTGCTTTGAAAAGGATTGCTGCTTCAACTCTCAGTGATATTTCAAAGCATTCTCCAGAGTTAGCACAGACAGTAGTGGATGCAGGAGCTATCGCTCACTTAGCTCAGATGATCCTGAACCCTGATGCTAAACTGAAGGTACATTTAAAAACATTTTTTTTTTAATCTCCATTATACCAGTCTTTACTTGATATTGAATCAAAGACACTGATGTGCATATTTATTTAGGAAGCTCTTGTTTTGGGCGTTAACAAAATGTAACTACATAGTTAGTGACAAAGAGTTCTGAACATATTCACAGATTTAGCTACTGGGTAAAAACTGCTGCTCTGAGAGGAACAGCTAAACTAATCTTTAAAGTGAAGAGTACGAATTTTTTTTAGAATAGTATATGAAGAATGCAACAGATATTTTTAATAGATAAAATTTGCACAATTCAGTTACAAAAAAGGTTTTGCATACTTAAGATTATACTATAAACCAGTTTAATATTAAACGTATTATTGTATTTTGGAATGTACTATCTGATGTGAATAGCTGATGTTGAAGGTTTAATCACTGGGGTTTAATTGTCAAAAAAATTGTTTCTTAATATAATTTTTCTGTCTCACTCTAACAGAAACAGAAGACAACATAAAAATGCCACTTCAAACAAATAGATAAAAATGCTTTAATATAATGTCTGACAGACCAAAATTATGCAAATAAAGATACTTTCTATAGATTTCACTAAATTTTAAATTACAGTTTTAAATGGTATATATATTTTTTCCTTTTTAATACATAGCAAGCTTGAATGGGATAAAACAAAGGAGAAACTTTTATTCAGGAACCAGCGAATGTTCTGTGCCATTATATTCGTGCATGAATTGACTCAGTGAATTGTAAAATAGCTGTAATTGTTTTCCCTATCGTGCTTTGTTTTCCTTGATGCAATAGATTTTTGTGTGCAGGAGGAGGGTATGTTGTGGGATGTTTGTATACTATTGATTTTATAACAATTTCTATTTACTAGCGTCAGGTGCTGTCAGCTCTAAGCCAAATAGCAAAGCATTCAGTGGATCTTGCTGAGTTGGTGGTGGAAGCAGAAATTTTCCCAGTTGTGCTCACATGCCTGAAGGACTCAGATGAATATGTCAAGAAAAATGGTGCAACTTTAATTAGAGAGATAGCAAAGCATACGCCTGAGGTAAAACCTTGAAAATGCAAATACAAGGTCATATCATTAGATTTTACACTTTAAATAAAATACAGGATTATTCTGTCATTTGCTTTTTGAAAGGGAGGGCAAATAGCTGTTTGGCATGTTCATTGGAAAAATATGGAAATGCTTGCTGATACTATGAGATGTGAATTGAATGTGACTTGGGTTAGGAAACTAGGAATCATATAACGTATACCTAGCTACTTCATTCCAGAAGATATCTGCACAGAGAGGGAGTCTTAGGCTGACAGTATTGTCAGTCCTAGATATTAAAAATAGCATGAGAAAAGCCTCACAGAAGTCATGATACCAGCTAATAAATGGCAAGATCATCCTATAACAATAATAGATGGTGTGTGTCTTTTTAAAATACCTTCTGGGGTGCTGGGATCACATTTTAATTATTTTTCCAATGACAATGAAGGTCAGAAGTTCTCTTAGTTTTTATTAAACTGACGGTAGTTTCTTTTATTAGCTTGATTTTGTAATTTGAGTCTCAGCATTTGCAGTGCTTTTGCCAATAACTGGTACAGGAAGGTGGGGATGTTTGGCAAAGTCAATACAAAATAAATAGGAAAAACAAATAATTATAACTATGTTAATCTGTCAGTCCATAGAGATAATTAAAAGGCTCTAAATATGACTCCAGAGTGAAATACAACCAATGTATTTGTGGAACGCACTAATGCTGAGCGCAGCCATGTCAAAGCCATGGTACTAGCTTAACAGAGAAGTGTTTAAACATGAATATTGTGCTGTTTCTTCAGCCGGCTAGTCTTTAAGCTGCTGGTGATTAAATGTTGCAGTCTTGTCACATTTCCTGCTTTCTCTCTGCACCTCATGAGCAATGCAACTTCACTTTCTCAAAAAAGTGAAGAAATTATCATTATCAAAGGGGGGCACTAGAGTCGAAAGCCAGAGGCCAAACTCATGAGACTGCAGGTAAAGTCAGAAGAGCTGGTAGCACAGGATCGTCCGTGCAAGGGGAATTGGCCATTCTAGCAGCTCTCCAAAGGAGCTGTAGAAGCATCTTGGTGACTCCCAGTGGGAAGTCACAATCCACATTCGGCTTTAGAGTGACAGTGATCTCTGTCCATCTCTGAGCAACTCTATTCAAGCAACACATGTTGCAGCAGGGAGAGATTGGCAAACGGTATTTCTAGAGGAGTGGGCTGTGTCAGTCATGTGAGTGTTGTGGCTTTTGGATCTCAGCTCTCTATCTGCATATGCACCAAAATTCACGTGAAGGTCAGGATCCGGGGGACTTGCAGGAGGGCCTGAGGGTCACAGCACCAGGGAGTGTGTGCAGGGGCTCTGTGTACATGGCTGTGCCCAGATGGAGGACTTGGTCATCGCTGGCTGCAGTTCACAATCATGTGAAGAGTTTTTTCTGAAGTAATAACTTTAAATTTCATCTAGCTATTTCATGAAAAAAACCCAAGCCTCTTTTAACGGCTCTAAGGCAACAGTGGATTTTATGTTTGTATAAATCAACTGGATTGGAAATCCACATGCCTCAGCTTTGTTAATTTGATTTTGACTTTTAAGAATGTGTTTCTTGTGCTTTGGAATCTTTGGGAAAAATGTGATAGACCTAACAAGATAGAAGAAAATTATCATAATATGAAATTATTTTAATTTCTGTGCATTGTTGGTATTGTACATAACACTACTGCTGTCCCTCAAGTGATGTGAGAAGTGATACATTTTTGAAAGAAACACGTTGCATCGCTTGATACACACAGCAAGCATCATAGACTGTGGACATGATTATCATTTATGAGCAAGGCTATGTAATTTGGCATTCTGGGGCAAACTGCATTGCCCATCCAGTGTGTTCCCTGGACACCTCCCTCAGAACACCCGAACATGGCAGAGTGGTGTAGTCCAAGTTGGTTTTGTGCACCCACGTGCTTCATGCCTCAGCAGGGGGATCCACAAAGGCTTTTATGCCGCAGAGGTTATCTAGAATGCGGGTGAGAGGAGGAGTGGGCCTTTCTCTCTGTCCCTGCACAGAAAAGATGATGTTGGCTTGGGAATGAGTGGGCATTAGTACAAGAGAATATCTGGCTCAGTAGGTGCGTCTGCAAGGGCATTCATGTATTAGGCTGTCATTTGCATGATTCTTTGGTGTATACTAATGGCGTTGAGAATACATCATTCCGTGCTGTACAGCATCAAGAATTCAGAGTCCCGATTTCCTTGCAGTAAAGTCACTCAAAAACAGAGTAGCAGAATAGCTTAATTCATGAGAACTTCATGCTGCACTTAGTGCCCAGCAGTCTGTATGATACATCACTCTTATTGGAGCTTTTTTTTGTAAATCAGGAGTAATACATTTAAAGACTTTTCTAGTGTCGTGCTTTATGCCTGTTGATACTTAACAGTATCTAATCTCTTCCGTTTATCTTTTCAGCTTTCACAGCTTATAGTAAATGCAGGTGGAGTTGCTGCTGTGATTGATTGTATTGGCAGCTGCAGAGGGACTGTCAGACTGCCTGGCATCATGATGCTTGGTTACGTAGCAGCTCATTCGGAGAACCTGTCAATGGCAGTGATTGTCTCCAAGGTTAGCTATCACTTTGTTGTCTTCCTGTAATTCTTCAGTGGTATTCTGAGAAAGAGATACAAATTAACATGGGCAGAGAATGTATTTTGTGACAGAATTATATACTTGCTGTTGATGAATGCACTTTCTTCTAATATTGCTGCTTGCTGTGGCTGAAATTATGTGGTAACCTGATGAAAGTGTGTCTTGATGAAATTGAACCTTTTTATAAAATGTCCTGGATTAGTTTGTGAACAGCCATTTGTATTACAGTACATGATTCTTCTGTGTTGCAATTGCACGGCTACAGTAAATAAGTCAGTGAATTTCTATGGTCTGTTTCCTCTTAAAATGAATATTTGTGGCTACATCAAAACCCTTTTTGAAACAAGAATGTTTAATGGCACATTCTTCATTGCACTAGCATGACTCTGCTAGTACTGCTAGAGTAGTCTTGCAACAGAAATCTTCAGACTTGAAAAGACCTCAGTTTCTAATGTAGTATGGTTTGATTCAGTTGTGCAAGTGACATTTCAAATGAGATAAGCTATACATTTTCATGTTTAAATAAATTCTGCTGGGCAATGATATAGAAGGGAGAGAATTTGCAATATTCGCAATAGGTGAAATTAGTGCCTGACGTAATATTCTGATGTGAATAATGTTAACTAATGACAGGAGGAAGGAAGTAATTTCACTGAGCATTGCTGGCCCATTTTCACACTGTGTCAGTCATTTGAAATATACTGTATGAGTGGAAACAACGAAACAATAAAAACAGAGCAACAGAAATGTCTTCTAGTAGGAATGCAAGTTAGAAAATGGAAATTGCTACAACATAACATCAATAAGTGTGCCAGGAAAGTGGGAGTGATCAAAAAAAATGCTCTTCTGCATTTGAAAACTAAAGAAATAGACACTTTCCTTGCCCTCTGGAGGCCCCTTTTCTCTGGATGTGTCTCTGTCTCTCCACTTTCAGGGGTGCCGAGAGCAAATATGCTCCTGCTGTTGAGTGCTTGATGTTAAGTGGGATGAATCCAGGATTAAGCTCAAGAGGAAGCACCTAAGTGATAAAATTTTGAAGAGTAATAATGGTTGCTGCCATAACTGAATGGGAGTGCAGTGAGAGATTTTGCATGGATCTGTGCAAACTCTCATAAAAATAAAAACTTTAACGAATGATCCACAAAAGGAACCCAAATAAACCCAAACCCCATTTAAAAAAAAAAAAAATTGCTTCAGAGGAAACTAAGCTTGTGGAATGGTACACAGTGCTGAGGACATGGCTTGGTGAGCTGGAACCATTTGAAAGAAATGCACTGTGGCATAACCACATGCAGTTACACATCTACGATGTTATGATGTAAAGTGATAGCTCCATTCTGCAGTACTGTATCCTGGAAAGGATTAATTTTGAAAAATAATTTTCGGGGTCATACTGGACAAACACTTCATTGTGGTCTTCTGCTACAGTGCAGTGGCAAAATTCAGTCCTGTGCAGTATTAAAGAGTGGAAGATGAAGCATTATTGGAAAAGAAAAAGTTAATCTATCTGTAGTACTAGTGCATATAGTTCTGTTATCTGTATTTGAAAAGGATCTTGAAAAAAACCCAAAGAGTGTGCAGAAAAGACGAAAAAATGATCCATGGGATGGAGAGAAAGTTAGGGTTTAGTAGCCTTGCCTTACCTAAAGTAGCAGGAAATGATTCCTATTGAAGTATCCTGGCATAAAATACTAGCTGCTAAGTAGCTCCATAATCCCGTGGAGAAAGGATGAAGACTGTGACCCTGAACCAGAAGAACTTCAGTGACAGCTGGATGTGAATGAGGTATTCTCCATCTCTTGATGTCTTCAAATCAAGAGGTGAAACCATTCTGGAAGTGATTGGATGAGTCAAACATGAACTGCTGGACTCAAGAAGAGGTTGATAAGTTGAAATTTAGTGCTGTGGATAAAAAAAGAAAGACTCAATGATGGGCCCTTCCTGGTCTTAAACTGATTTCATAGATTGATAAACACTCAAATTCTTTTATTTTCAGTCTGACAAAACTGAAGCCTTTACTTTTAGTACAGCCTGAATTGTGTTATTTATTCCTTTTATCCCTTAAATATGTGTGTTAGCTCAAACTGCCTTCTGACTTAGAACATTGAATCTGTCTCTCTCTTTCCTTAACTAGATTTATTAAGATTTAGTCAAAATTCTTGCTAGACATGATGTTGTAAAAATATGACACCACTAGCGTACATTCTCTTATAGCTCATTTTAGAAGAAGAGTGTAAATAGAGAAACGTTTTCTAACAATCTGTATCAGTTTCAAGTTGTCCTTCCCTGGTGTAGATTTGCAAAGGTTGTGCTTTTGATTAATGCTACAGGGAATACCACCACTGTGTGCCTGCTTGATAGAAGAACCTGAAGATCATATTAAGGCAGCAGCTGCTTGGGCCTTGGGACAGGTTGGAAGACATACTCCTGAGCATGCACGTGCTGTTGCCGTAGCAAATGTGCTACCCACACTGCTTGCTATGTATATGGACACACGCAGTTCAGAAGATCTTCAAATGAAAGCAAGTATATTTGTAGTATCTGCAGTATGAGATATTTATTGTAACGAACAGGTATAAGTGCTTAAAAACTACTAAACGGTATGTGCTTTTCTTGATGTTCATCGAGTGACAGATTTCCTGGGTGTAGGGTGTCCAAGGGCTGTGTGTCATTTATTAGGACTGGCTGGTCCTAATGGGTGTGCGTATGGTGCATACCAAATCATATGGTACTGCCACAGCAGTCTAGTCCCTCATTTTCTTCCCAGTTTAGATCAGAGTTGCATACAGCCATAAATGCTATAATTTCTTGTGTGTGACTATTTGCTAATTATCTACTTTTTTTTTTTAAGTATAAGCTCTTGTACAACATATTATAGTCCTTGTAGTAGATTTGCTTACACTTCTATTCTTATAATAAAACTGTAACAAATACTCAAAGCTCTGCTCTTGAAAACATTCAACTGTCCCTGTTTAGGGCCTTCCTTGTGTGGGAGCTAGTAGAGTTGCGTTTGGTTAAGTGTATTTTATATATAGTGTATTTATATATAAGAGCAACAGTAAATGAACAAACTGAAGAGTATAATATGACAGGATACTTTCTCCCATGTGGTACTATGCTTCTGTACATTCCACTGAAGTATAACGTTCCAGATCTGTAAAATAACTTTTGTATAGTCATTTTCGGTGGTCACCAAAATATCAAGGCCATATTAGCTGTACCTATAATCCTACCCAAGAAGGTCATTACTGCTTGTAGCAGTCAGCACTGAGTGTTTTCAGAAACTAAGCACTGACGTACAACTGTTTCACTCTCTCTTTCCCTCCCTGCTTGGACGGTAGTGCGCTTTGCTATCCCAGACCAGCAGACTCTCCTAGTAAGCCACTTCTGAAATACAATCTTTTAAAATGTGTTTTGATTTAGCTTTCTTATTATATTACAGTGCTTCAATTTACTTAAAGGGTCTACTTGTGCTTCCATTATAGTCAAAGGAAAATCGCCGTTACTCTGACTGTAGGTAACATAATAAGAATAAGATGCACTGTGGGTTTTGAGGTTTAATAAATCTAAGTAGAAAATTGATTCTTCATTATGTGACCTGATAGATATCATAGTTTTTATTCAGAAAATTCTCTTTGAGAATTCTGATCAATTTGCTTTTTTGATCAGACTTTAGTGATATATAACATGAATTCTTGTTGTTTTCATTGGTGTCTTACTAGAGGAATTTTATTTTGCATTTCAATAGACTAAAAAAGCCTTAAAGAGCATCCTTCAGAAATGCACGTATCTTCCAGCACTTGAACCATTGCTGCATGATGCCCCACCCAATATTATGAAGCATATTGTTGGGCAGTTTAGTAAGGTAAGAAAAGGCTCTGCTTGATGAGTAATACGTTAATTGTTTTCTATTTAGCAAGGAAGCTATCTTTCCAGAGATGAAGTCTTCCTAAAGGTCTCAGTTGTTTTTCTCAGGATCCTCGAGCATCCCCTGCAGAAGCAGTTTGGAGCATCCCGTTCTTTTGTCTGATAAAGCTGGATACTGTTTCATCTGGAACCTGCCATAATTCATCCTAAGACTGCGAAAACAGTTGCTTATAAGCAAGATGGTTTTTTTCTTCCTTGTCTCTTGAGATTAAGTGGAATATTAACTCACGTGCAAATATTTTCACTGAGCCAATGTATCACATAAATCCCAGTCACATCTGTTTTAGATAAAATACAAGCTGTCTGTACAGGAGTGACTTAAGTCAGGTATTTTACAATAATCTGGAGTGTAAAAGCTTCACCACTTTTATCCTCATTAATTTTCAGTCTCAATTAAGTGTAAAAATCCCAAATCTTTTCTCATCCCTCTCAAAATTTGAAACTGTTTGTTGTTAATTACATCGTTGATTTGAGCGCAGCATGTACAAAGCAATATAATTGAATAAAAATATTTCAAATTATTTAAGCAATTGCTAACTAATCAGGAGATTCCCAGTGTCTGCAGTGTTCACCAGCTGTTGGGAATCCTGCTCAACTATAGACTATCTTTTGTGCAATCGTCTGCAGCGTAATCTGTTAGCAGGGGGTACCAGGCTCTCTCGGTGAGATGTGTTTTCTGGAAGTGCCAAGTAAAACACTCTTGATATTCAGTTCTGATTATCACAGATCTGGAAGCACTACTATTTGTAGTGCAGATTCCTGATTATATTGCCACACCGAGGTTTGTCCTGTCTTCTTGCTAAGTCTGTACAAAGATTGGAGATTTGCTCAGAATCCAGTGCCTTTTGCTTCTGTGTGACTGGAGCTATTAATGAGCTGAGTGCACGGTAATTGGTTAGCCAGTGTATAGATTTGAATGTTATTTGCTGTTGGAGTGGTTTTGTAAGCTCCATATCAGCTGATGTTTTGTTTTGTTTCATTTTTCTTCTTCTCCTACATTGTATTAAACAAACTATACTTGCCTGGCATTTGCTCTTCTGAAGTATACATTTAAAATTAAGTTCTCTGCAGTAAAAGCATTTTTCTCTTCTGTACCATAGCTTGGGAATTTCCTAGCCTTAGAGTTGTGGTGTATTACTTCTGTTGGCTTATTTATAGCACAGTAAAAGCCTTATTTCCGAGCTGTGCTTCAGAGCGAGATGCTATCCGTGCTTGGTGCTGGACTGTGTCATTTTAGCATTATCCTTTTCAGGGTCTGTGCAATTCTGTGCTGTCTCAGTTTGGACTGGGGGAAGGGACCATGTCTCAGAGGTGCTGTCTGTCTTTAGAGCCTCTTCCAAGAGAGTTTTCTGCTGTTTTATCCAGCCTGGGAGTCACAGTAGGGAGGAGGAAGGCAGGGAAAGGGCCATATCCTGTCTCCTTGCTAGTTCCTTCTTGGCAGTTCTTGCTGTGGGAGATACGTGGAAACAGACGTCTTTTCAGTTCCCACAACGAAACAATCACAGTTGTTCCTGACACTTCCATGGAGCATATAATAGGGAGAAGTCTCTATGCTCCCCTGTTTTTTCTTTACCTGTCTGTTGATTTTGTACAGCCTAGAGGGATCAGAGAAATGAAGGCTGTTTGCCTATATGCATGGCAAAAATCTCATCCTTCTTTTCCTTCATCCTTTTAGGCAATCCCTTCCTCCTCCTTCAAGGCTCTTGTTTTACACTGAGATACAGTGAAATTTATGGCTTGATTTGTCTGACCAGTGTGAAGGCTTACAAAATGCTTTTGCTCCCATAGTATGTAACTCAGAGTTGGTTTTAAACCCATCTGGTTTTGTTGTAGATGCAGCTGACGACTTGCATTACCTCTCTTCCCTCTTTTTTTTCTTTTTTTTTTTTTTTTTTTCCCCTCCCTTTTTTTTTTTTTTAATATTTTTGCAGCCCTGTGGGCCTATGGACTACATGCTGTCATTCTCCCTTGCCTGGCCCAGCCCCCACTTCCCTCCTTCCCTCCCTCCCTCCTTCCCTCCCATCCTCTGGACAGAGCTGCATATTGGCATCACTCAGGGAGCGCAGAATGTATTGTCTGATCATTTCTGCTTCTCATCCCCTTTGGCTGCAGAAACTTCACATTTTGTGTGTGTGTTTGCGTGTGTGTGTGTGTTTGTAAAAGGCTTCCATGGCTACACAGTGTGTTGTAGGATTTTAATATCTAGGAATTTAATAGTAGCATGTAATGCTTCAAGGCTGCATTGTTCACTTGCAACAATTCTCAGTATTGTTTTCATGCACTAATCTATACTAGATCATTACAATGATATAAAATTCTGCTCTACAATTAAACTGTGGGAATTAACATAAAAGACCTGAATAACTTGGTTTAAGTAGAACAGATGCTGTTGTTATTCCATGTTAGTGTTCTGGTTTTATTATCTATTTAATCTCTGCAATCATATTGTCTCTGTAGGAATAATTTAAGAAATATTATTTACATAAAGATAAATATTCAATTCAGTGTTTATATATGTTATGTATTAAAGTACATGTTAAATTATGTTATAACCATAAAGGGCTGGGTTATGATTTTTTTTTCCCTGTACAACTGGGTGTTAAAATACAGTAGTCATTACAGATGTTGTGCCTCTGATGTGTTCCATTTTATCTGTCCTCTGAATTAAAAACAGATAAGCAATATTTAAGACTGGTAGCATAGAGATTCCTTTAAAAGAAAATGTTCTTTTATTTTCAATGTACTTTTCTGTGTGTAGGTGTTACCACATGACAGTAAAGCACGTCGTCTCTTTGTAACAACCGGTGGACTTAAAAAGGTTCAAGAAATAAAAGCAGAAGCTGGGTCACTTCTTCAGGAATATATCAACACTATTAACAACTGCTATCCAGAGGAAATAGTAAGGTAAGGAAAATGAAATTTAAAAAACTCATACTTGCAACATTATTAGATGTTTTTCACGGGAACAACACAAGGCAGGGATTTAAAATTTTAATTTAACTTTTACAGGAATTTTGTTTTTAATAAAACAGCATAACATTTGGTTGGTTGCCCCAGTGGTAACACAACCGTTAGACACGTACTGTTGAACACTTTCTCTTTTCTGATTGTTTTTGGGATCAAATTTCTCTGTAAACAAAGGCCAAATAATCAGGCTCTCACAGGAAACTGGGGGAGAAAAGTCAGTCTTGCACTACCCAGACAAACTGAGACTTCAACACAACTGTTCTCATATTAATGAATGTCCGTGGGAAGTTGAGTTTATCTTGGTAAGTTATTTATGGATTACTCAGGCTCCAAGCTACAGGTATTGGTGAATCTTTGCTTGCATCCTTGACTTCCCTGAGAGCCTGTCTGATAGTGTATTCAGAGGCTCCTTTGAAACTTCCTCTGATGTGCAGAGGGTCCAGAGGCTCTCCTGCACAGTTGCTCTGCCCACAGCTGCCCTTCCTCCCCCAGCCTCATCATGAGGCTTAAGTGTTATATAAAAGGACCATACACCAGCTGTCTGCACCAAGTTGAACTTTGCCCTTAATGAATACAGAAACACTATTAAATAGCTTACAGTCAAAATGTCACCATCCTAAATTGTAATAATGAGAGAAATGCCCTCCTAGATTCTAGATATCCATTTACCAGTCCTTCACTCCATCAACACATCAAAAGGATGCTGTACTCGTGCACTCCCTCTACAGGCTCTGAAAATCTGCATCATCAATTTTAATTATAGCACCAGAGTTCTCTGGCTAATAGTAGCTACAAACTAAGTCACGCAAAATGAAGCCCTGTTTGTCTCCACAAGGAAAAGCCAGTGGCTGTCAAATGCGTAAAGCAAAATCATAAAGGAACTTTATTCTGCAGCTACAAACACTAATGCTT